TGTGTATATAAATACGTTTTTCATAAGAGCGTTTCCAAGCATATACTTGTAAAGAGTGTTTTGAAGGAAGGATTTTGATTCTTTACATCGTATACCAAGATTATTTAGACCATTTTATTTTTTGTATTCCTTAATTAATAATGAAAATGTATGACAATAGATTGAATTAAGTCTTCACGAAAAAAAAGTACAGAACATTTGCATTAATCCAAGATAATGGTGACTATTTCGTAGGTTACTACCAAATTCTGTAAAAAAGTATTTAAAGTTAACTATAGTCCAGGTGCGTGACAAGTTTTGTCCTTATTTTGCATGTTGAATCGTATAAAAAAACAAAAGTTCAAGTGGCCGTCATAGGCGAATTGCTTTCCACAGCCTATAAAACACAATGTCAAAGTGACTTGCAGTGCCAGCTCTCCCCTACAAACTTATGCACCCAACGGATAGGTGTGTACTACGTCTTAAATTGTGAGAATGCAATTTACGAATTAAAAGATATTTATGTACATTATATGATATTTTATATTATCAAAACTGGTCTAAGAATGCAGTTCTCATCACAATCCTGCCCTTATAGTCCCGTAAACTATAGCAGTAAGAAAACTCAGGTTATCGCGGGGAATAATGACAGTAGTTTCAGTGAGTATAAATGCACTGTTTTGCAAACAAGTTAATAAAGAATTTCAAAGTTTCTTACCAGCTTAAAGTATCTAGATATAAAACCACGATAAGACTTGGCAGCTGCTAATACATTTTCTGAAAACCATCCACAACCTAACTAATCATCGTATAGGCCAGGTTAGGCCATCTGCATGTAAATACTCATCTGCCCTATTGTATGAAACAATACTAGATCTAGCAATTTTTTTATAATGTTATAACTTATAAAGTGGTGTTGATGTTTATTAAAAAATGGCAATATTGCTTTTTGATAGATTAATCTTACCAAACAGTTTCTACACTAGTTTTGGATTTAGATGCGTATGTATCTACAGAAGACCAAATTTGTCTAAACGATGATTTATAAGGTTGTGAATGGGCTTAAGAAATTGTATTGGCAGCTTTTGAAACCTATTAAAAATTCTTGTCTTCATAACACAAATTAGATAAGCACTAGTTTGTCAATTCTTCAAAAATTCTTCGTCAACTTTTCTGGAAAATAGTACTCTTTACTCACTGAAGTGACTGTCATTACTCACAGCGATAACCTGAATTTTCTTACTGTAACATTTAACAGGGCTTTAAGGCCAGAGATTTAATAGGAACTACGATTTTAGATCAGTTTTGATTATAAAAAGTACCATACACTGTACATGGACACCTTATAACTTGCAAGCTACTTTTTCGCAATTTGGAGAAGTAGTAGGCTCCTATAATTAACCACAAATTAACTAACAACAATCTGACCTAGAATAATCTTTATCTTGCATGTATGCGAATATTTTGCTCTTTTTGCACTTATAAACTAAAAACGAACTATTCCCACATATTTTTTTCATTAAATAAGCAATGAAAAAAATCGCAATTTTATAAATAACTTCTAGATACGTGTAAAAATTGAAACTGCTTTTTTTTAAACACACTTTACCAGTAAAGGTTTAGAGAAGCTTGAATAAAAAAAACTTATATACATACATTTTTTTATACATACATTTAAGTGCTATACTTCTGGCTTCTAATAAGGGTACTCTGGGCACTGAGAACTTGGGAGATAGAAAATAAGAGGAATAGGGTGCCACCCTTAACTGTAAGTAGGGAGGGGAAAAACAGTCAATTTTGCTGCAAGAAGGTCACTCATCCCGTTTACGAGGAGCATTTTGTAGTTCATCTTGTAGATTGTAAAAAAATATTGGAGACGTATTTTTTTTCATACAAACATGAGTTGACAAGAAACAGCACGTCAAACTACAAGAGTGGGGGTAAAATGTATTATAGGGTCACAAAAATTGTGTATCCTTATGACGTCATAAGCTCCCACTCGTGAACTTCGACTTTCTCTACCTTTGCCAAATCATGTTTATATGAATAAAGAAAAAACACGTGTCCAATATTTTTTCATCATCCACAAGACGGACCAAATAGAATTTTTCATGCAAGGTCCAAGTAGCCTGTGTTGACTTTTGCGTTTCCTCACATCTGGTTGTGGCCTTATGCGTGCTTTTCGGGCCCTCCTCTCATATTGGGATCCCGCTATATATATACATACAGTGACGTGGAAAGCCAACGTCACTGTAACAACATGCGTTTAGTGATAGCAGATAAGAGGAGTGGCGGAACAGTGCGAATCCTACCCGATCCAAGGACCCTGTACCTATACTCACGAGCGGCACGGCCAACACTTGACTGTGCGTAGATGTTGATATAGGTGCATACCAACACATGCAGGTAGCGGGAATATCGAGGCAGCGCAAATCGGCGGGCCGACAGGAGAGACACTCTCGCTCTTGTCTGCTGGCCGTTGGGACGCACGTTAAGAGATCAACCGTGTAAAAGACAATACGTTGGTCGTGTGTGTGAGTGCTCGTTAACTTTGCTTCGTACCAGGCGATAACAGGAGACGCAGCAAGGGCTACCTGTTGACGACCTGGCAGGCTGCCATTTCCCTTACAGGCCACCGCTATCGAGGATTGCCGATGCCTGCCAATCGGATCTCCCGGTGGCCGTATCTAAAGCTGCAGCGTACGTCTCTACAGTAGTGAGAACGGTAGGCCTATTTTCTTTTATCCTGTTCTTACCGCGAAAGCACTGTGCCGAGCAGCAACTGTCGAACCTGCATCCACAGGGTTAAAATTATGTAAATAAGGCCAGGTCGGATAGCTGAGTAGTACAATTCTTGGTGTAGTTGATGCAGTGGATGGTGTTGAATAAATGCAATACTTATACATGAAAACATAGGTGTCTTCCACTGATTTATACGCAATTGCTAACTATCCGTCTCATCCCTTCAGTATTATAAAAGAAAACACTAACATGCCGTGTCTTGCTGCTAACGATAAGGTGAGCAAGGTGTGACGTGTAAAAATATATATACATGTGTCAACATGATTTTTTCTTCATAGAAGCTTTATTTAGCTTTTACGCTTTTATAACTAAAATACATATGAACATAATTATCATTGTGGTGCAGACGACACAGTTTTATTGTATATTAACCCATAATAAAATATATAATAACAAATGCATATGTAGCGGTATTTACAGTCGAGCTACCTGTGCTAAAAGAAATAAAAGAAAAGGCTATGTAAGCAATTTCGTGTACTAAACATCCTATTTTTTATATTTCAAGTATTTTGTCATCAATTTTTCTGCTAAAAATCGTTAAAAATAGTACGAACTATCATTGCATTAAAATAATTTTAATAAAATGTACTATTTATAATTTATTTCACATTGATTGAAAATTCAAAATACAAACTTAAAAGTCTACAGTGTACGCGGGTGCCGTGGCAGACTTTTTACACTCGCCTACGGGATATAATCGCGCTTCTTGGTTTAAACAATCTAAAAATGAATATCAGAGGGGCACTTAAGCCGTTAGAACAAACTTGTGAAAATTAATAATCATGTTTCAAGACAAAGCTATAAAGACATGAAGAGGTTGGTACAAGAGTTTTTGAATATAGATAAAGATAATGAAGGAAAATATAGCAGACAGTGAAATAAAAACTCATCTGCCCTATTGTATGAAACAATACTAGATCTAGCAATTTTTTTATAATGTTATAACTTATAAAGTGGTAAAGATTCTTACTAAAAAATGGCAATATTGCTTTTTGATAGATTAATCTTACCAAACAGTTTCTACACTAAATTACCTCTAAATTTGTCTTTGAAATAAAATATAAAGATTCTTACTATTTTTTGGCCATAGTTTTTTGACGATATTCGTATTGTTCACGTGGAACCACTGGTCTTGTTAACGTAACAGATTTGTATAATAACCATTTAATGTATTTCTGTGATGAAACACTACTTTCAAAACCTTATACTTATTATTGTTTATATTCACTACATATGTCGATATGCTATNCTCAGCGATTTCCACGACTATAAATAAATTTCAAGGTCATAGTTTTCACAATATTAGACTATATTTTAGAAAACCAGTGTTTTTGCATGGCCAATCACACTCTGCGTTATCAAGATGTAGAAATAAATTTTTTACTAATGAAACAAATATTAAAATTTTTGTTTTTTATTTCTCAAAACTACGTAATTTCTTTAAATAACCATGATTTTTTAAAAATATTTTTCTAAATTTTTTAACAGATTTTTTCATACGCGCATCTACTTATAGTTTATAGAGATCTGTCTAAAGATATTTCTAGAAGACCACTTTAGCTAAAGGGTTAAGTAATGTGAGAATAAACATCCTCATGAAAACTGCGTTATTTGAGATCACAAAAGTTATTTGAATTTTTTAGGAATATCTGACAGTACAAGATAAAACTGTAAGAGTTTTTGGGGAAAAAAAAAACTAAATTAAAGCGTAATGAAATGTTATTCTAATGGACGGCCTTAATTAGTCAAAATTTTTTAGAAATGATTCTTTCTATACTCCGTGGCACATGTCATCAGAGCAAGCACCGAGCTCAAGAGAACTACAAAGCAGGGCTTCCTTGTTTTATCTTTAGTAGAAGGCACACCAGGAACAATGAGGGTTATTTGTCATAAAGGTGCAGTAATTATTCAAAAATATAAAATGCTCGAAGTATGAAAATAGTGTTTTTCTTTGGTGCTTCCCTAACTTTGCACAAAAGTCGTCCATTATATGTATATTACTAAACTTAGACTTTTTTCTGAATGAATTTATTACATTTTAAAATTTGACAAAGTTAGCAACTCTAAAAGATGCTAAACTTTGATTTTTGTATGTTAGTAGAAAGTTTAAAGAGTAGATTAACAATTAATTAATGTAGTATTTCAAAGTTTTTGTTCACCCGATGTTATATTTTATTATTTTCTAATTACAATGTCATAAAACAACATTGTTTTTTCAGCAAAGAAAGGATACAGAAACATGACTTCCTTGAGCAGTTACTGAATCCCAGTAGAATTCCAGATACTAAACTGCCATTCCCAATTTTCGTACAATTGAGGTCTTATCAGCAGCAAGGTCTTAATTGGTTAAACTTTTTAAATCGGTACCAATTGCATGGTATTTTGTGTGATGACATGGGATTAGGAAAAACTTTGCAAACACTAAGTATCTTGGCTCTAGATCATCATTGGCACAATCAAGCACCAACAAGCCTTGTTGTGTGCCCACCTACTTTAACTGGTCATTGGATTTTTGAAGCAAAAAAATTTTTTAAAACTGAAAATTTGTCAGTTGTACACTACTCTGGCATTCCCCTCGAACGTGAAAAAATGAGGTTGAGGATTGAATCATACAAGTAAGTTTCAGTTATATTATTATGTAGCATAATATGTTTGGGGTTCTACGATTAATACAAATAATATAATAAAGGTACTAGTACAAGAAAAAGACCTTTTGGTTTTTAAACAGTTAAGAAGTTATTAATGCAGTATGAAACTAGTGTTGCGTTGTATAATACGCAAAAACAAATATATAGTTTGAAACCAACAAAAAAGTATAAATAATTTTCCCACCCATATATCGATACACAGTATTGTTTAGATACTTGACGTCATGTATGTATCTAGAACCATTTATAACTGTTGATTTTTAATAGCTGTAGAAATTGTAGTATAGTATTTAATAGGTCAATGTATTAAGTTTAATAAGTAAACACATGACGTCCTCCTTGCATAAAAGTATTTCTTTGCAATCTCGGCAATCACAGCAAATGCCCCACCCAAATTAATCACGCAGATGATTGTTTAATTAGCAAGCAAAACTACAAAGTGGTGCAAATTCCTTTAGATTTTAGAAAAATTTACTATATTACTTACCCTCGTTTGTGATCTCTGCTTGAATATAAATGGCTCTGTAATTTTGCTAAGTTCTGATAACAAGTGTCGCTTGATTATGTAAACTAAGATTTTGTAGTCTTGTAATGCAGGTTTTGCCAGCATGCACATATTTCTTAACACGGCGAAAACTTCAGCGCTGCTGCATGCTCTAAATAATATGTAACACCACTTAGCACACATGCGCAAACTACATATATTTATATACTAGCGAAGCACGGCCCCTCTACGCGCTCTTTGTGCCAACCTTTAGTTTTTGAATATTAATTTAGTACTTTATTTTTTTAGTTTGCCTTTTAAAGTTAGGAAAAATACAAAAATCTGGGTAACGTAGCTGATAAATCAAAGCAAAAGTAGCGTAAATTTGATAAATACTTCTTCATAAATTCATAAGACTAACTTTTGCTTGGTTTCTAATCTTACAAAATATCTTTTCTCGAACGAAAAAAGCTAGAAACATACTTGTTGCCACAATAAAAAACTTCGTTTAAGTCTTTCGAGTATATACAACAAAAAACAAAAAAAATTTATTTTACTAAACCAATGTACAAAATACTCATCAGATGTTACAATAGCATTTTTAGTTTTGCTTTTTTTATGAGTAATGAGATAGAAAAAAAAATTAATCTATTTATAACTTGAAAATTTAAAGACAAACTTGTTACATTAAATGTACGTATGATAATCATGTAGCTATTAAATAAAAATTAAATTCAAGTAAAAACAGAACCTAGTTAAAGTTCACATTAAGTTTCTTACTTTAATAATAAAAAAAAACCCTATAGCTAAAAACTATACATATTTGTCAGAAAATTCCTTATTATAAGGAAGTTTTTTTAAGAAAAAGTGGAAAAGAAAACGTACGTACAATAAACCATTAACTGTATAATGTGGCCAAACCATTGTTTCTAACTCAGGATTACCAGAACATTTTTATCTGTGTGTGTATCCTATGGTTTCAGGTGATTTACAAAAAACGTTCTGATTTGATTTGGAACTTAAGGCAGATGTAGTCAATGAGTCATGAAGAGAAGGCTTAAGTTGGTCCAAATGTTTTTTGCTAATTCCATTCTTCGCAGTTTTAACTATAAAGTTATTTGGCCGTTTTTTCCAACTCCTGCCTTTTTCCACGGACTAAGTCTAACATTTTTTACTCTAAATCAAATCTGTTAAAAAACCTTCAGCCTGTTTGTAATTCGGCTGGTGAAACACGGAATGTAACATGCGGTGTCAATATAAAAAAAAGATACCTAGCTAAAGCTTTTTGCTTATTATTGCCTTCTGACACAAATAATTTGAATTTATATTTAAAAGTATTAACGGCGTTTTTCGCTGTGCCATTACGAGTTGGATGGTATGAGGCTACTAAACGATGCGTCATATTCTTGCGTAGAAACTCACAAAATTTTCTTAAAACGAAAGCTGGACCATTGTCCAAAACAACTAAAATGGGTAGGCCCCAAGTTAAATATTTTTCTCGAAACGCTGAAGTAGTAGAATAAACTGGTATATCATGCATTACTTTAAGATCCACCCACTTTAAGTGTGAATTTCTGATGAGTAAATATATAAAGTTTTGAATTGGACCTTACAAATACACACATATACGTTCTTTAGATGAGTCTAGCCAGTCCCATACATGATATTTGGCAAGGGTAGGTTGCTTCCATGCCGCAAGTGTAGTTCACAATTTTTGTTATGGGAATGGAAACCTAGCAAATTGAGCTCAGATGGAGTAGCTGGTACTTATAATCTCCAGCCAATGAAGTGTGAGAACGGTTTATGTTTAAAAGTATACATATATGTGTGGTGTTTATCGTCTGCACTCTGCACCGTCTGTTAAAGACAAGCAACAAACACAAATAATTTTTCACTGCCAGTATGATAAATATTATAAATCGTAAATATACCCTGCTTATGTTCTGTCACCAACTGTAAGGGATCAAAGGGATTTCAATTCCCTCAAGATAGTGACAGAAGAGAACAATGGCTCGAGGCTTTGAATGTGTCAAAATCAAAATTTGGAGTTAAAAGTTGTTTTTTTGTTTGTTACAAACACTTCCAGGAAACAGATATATACATAACAGGTTTGCAGAGAGCGGCGTTGGCTCAGTGGTAAGCGTACTTGCTACTGATACAACGCTGTTCTAGGGGTCGTGGGTTCGATTCCCAGTGAGTGCAGATTTTTTCAAAAACTGTTTTCACCGGAAAAAGTTCCTATGTAACCCCGGCTGTTTCGGGGCGGGTTTTTCCGTGGAATTTTCCTTCAGAGTAATTCCAGGGTTTTTTCCTTGCTCCACAGGTCTTTGAGCCTGGGTGAATGCGAAATAGTGTTAGGGCCTAATAGGTAGGGATTAGTGGGCCCGATGCCAGTCAGGGATCGCCGGCCTTACTGGCGAGGAGTGGCCCCTGAAACATGGGGCTTCTCCGGGGATGCTAATTAGCCTGGTTTCGATGCTTCGGACCCAGGCTACACAGTGGCGAGGTGACCCAATGCACTTCCCCCCGATGCAGAGAGTGTCAGCTTAACTGACAAGGTGTGTTACACCGGAGATACTTTCACTGTGCCCATGGTATGATTTGTATGGTATCAATTAAAAGAGAAGATTTAATGGGTGTGGCAATACACCCCCACACATAGGTGGTGAGTTGGTGGCCCCGGCGACTGGGCCAATAGGCTGTCGCGATAACCCGATAAAAAAAAAAAAAAAAAAAAACATAACCGGTTTGTATGAGAAAATATTTGTTAGTAGCATAGCAATCCATGCAATATTACAAGTTAATTGCGTATGTTGCAGGTCTACTTAAAAAGGAAGGTAACGTTCGACTGCTGTTCCTTGCATCGGTTTAAACAAAAAATCTGTAAGTGCAACAAATTTTCAAGTAAATGGTAAGTTTTAATATCTTTGCATAAAACGCATAAAACTATTATTTAATAAATATTGTCAACTCTAGTACAATTATGATTAATAATTTTTGCAGTCATGATTAGTAATATAGAGGAAAAAACTGTCATTCAGGAAGAAAGTGTCAAACTATCCCAATCAAATCTGGAATCGAAAGAAAGAAGGAGTAATATAAGAAAGACATTACTAACAAATTAACAACTTCTTTGTTTACAATTGACAGAATAACATTAAATGAAAATACTGTGTAAGTAGATTAGGTTATATATAAAATGACAAAAAACCAATTTCTATAACCGGTTTTTTCATTGATTTAAAAGTACATCTTTCATAGATATAAAATAGCATTTTGCAAGAAAATATATTTTCGATGACATAAATGCATCAGAAATGAGTTTAAAAACCGCCCCCTTTACTTTTATTAGCTGGAGTCTAAGTACCAGTTGTGCCATCTGAGCTCAGTTTGCTAGGTCATCATCCCCATAATTCCGATCGTTGCATCGATCCTCAGCTACTAGACTTACGACCAAGTCAAGACTTTCATCTTTACTATACCCATGTACCATTATGTGGTTCCGCAAAAAAAGATTCACGTTACACTTCAAGCACAATTCAGTGGTGTTCCCAAAAAATACAATTGTTCTTTTCAGACAATTCAGACGCTTTGCTTTTAGAAACGTTCAGATACTCACTGACTTTATCTAGCCCACCAACTTTGATAAATTTATAAATCGTTTTAAGCATAGTACTGTCGTTAATAGCTAAAAGAAATCCATCTGCTAAAATAAAATCAATCGATTTTGAAACGAAATTTAAGTGAGAATATTTATCAGAACTTAGGCCACTTAAATCAGGCGCATTCAAACTCAGTCTTAATAGATAGTCCGCATGACTGTTATTTTTGCCTTTGAAGTGCTTGTTTTTATCATCATATCTAAATAGAAGAACTACCTATCTTAAAAGCTTACTAGCAAACAATTGCAAAATGCCGCGTTCATCGCCAAATATAAAAACGAGTGGTTAATGGTTTATTTCAAAAACACAATCGAAGCCATGCACATATTGACAAAATTTATTTACGGTGAAGATAATAGCCAGAGCTTTGCGATCTATCTATACATAATTTTTCTTTACTTTTGTCCGTGACTCGAACGCGATCGGACGTTGAGTGTCATCTGGCCAGACATGTGGAAAAACCGTGCCGATACCGGTTGGTAACACGTCTCAACTTTATATGACGCTTATTTACTTTTTGCATTAATAAAGGCATCTTTACAATTTCTTGATAAGACCAAACTAGCATTTTCCTTTAACAATTCACTAAAGTACCGACTAACATAGTATATTAGTTTATGAACTTTGAATAAAAATTGATTATACCCAGAAAATTTTAAACCTCTTTAACGTTTTTTTGGCCTAGAAATTTTTAAAATTTCCTTCAATTTTTTATCAGTATTGTGTACACCGTTTGCATTTAATTCACAACCATTACAATTTATTTTATTTTTATTCAGTTGGCAATTTTTTAACGCTGAAGTTAAACAAACATTCTGTAA